CTGTGTTTTTTAACAGCGACACACTGTCCGCACATGGCAGATAAACTATCAGACGTACGAATGTTCACAGAGAGGGCTTGACTAAATTACCCGGCAGACGCCCTGAACAGCCACACGGTGCTCCTCTGAAGTGGGTGACATGCATCATAAATGAATTTAACTGCTCGAGCTTCCACGTTTGGTTCTTCGGACACATTTTTTTTCATCACAACAAGCGTTGACGATCAAGTCACCCCGCTGTTTTCACGCACACATTTTCCCGACTCCTCCCCGGTGCGATCTGATCGGCCTTCTGCGAGGACTTTTGCACACTGGTTCTTGTTTTGTGTTGAATGTTGTGTTGTTGTAGCAGGAGCACATCTCTGCAGGTGGAAGACGACTTTTGTAGCACACAGCGGACCACATCCTGCCCCATATAGCTCCGACAAAAAGGGCTTCATACGTCAGACTGGCTGTTTTTAACTGTGTCATTTCAGAGTAAATTTACATCTAGAGGATGACTGATCATGTTTCTGAAAACGAGCACTGATTCCAGCATGTCTGAAGCTGTGATTGGTTTCAATTTGCCAAATTTTGTATTTTAGGTGCACAGTGAGGATTTTTTTTACTTATTCACAATCCTTCATGTTTGTAAAGGCTTCTTAAAATAATCCATAATAAAGCATTTTTAGTTAACAATCTAAAGTTTACACACAGAAACTGGTGCGTTTGTGCAAAACAAACAAAAATAATGGTTTTATTCAAACTATAGGTTGTTTGTGGAAAACACGAAGTGACCAGCGCCGGACTGAGTGTGTGTTTGTGTGTATTCCTCTCCCTGTGGGCGGTTGCCTGCTGCGCTGCTTTTCTGTCACCCTGTGGTTTTGTTATTTTCAGCTCGAAACCGGATGTGATTCAGACTGCATGGTAGATTGTGTAATTGAATGGACTAACCACATAGACACACACACACGCACACACGTATGCATTGATGCTCTATGTCACACACACACATGCAATCACACATGAGACAGAAAACTGTCTCACATACGTTATATAGCTCAGTACGCCCACACTCTGAGGAGTTCTGGGAACGGCGCTGGGTTCCCCCCCCCACTCCATTCAAAGAGGCACCCAAGGGTGAGCGAGCGGACGATGGAGCACCACCACCACCACCAGCAGCAGCAGCAGACAGACGCACGCTTTTTTTGGTTTCAATATTGGTCTGAAACATCGGTTGTCGACCTGACTGACGCTTAGATCGGAAAAAAGGATAAAACGCAAACACACGCCGGTGCTGGGTGGAAACTGTTGAAACAGTTGAAAGTGGGGAAAAAACGCTGCGATGAAGAAGCTCCTGAAACTCACAATAAATGTCAGTTTCACAGCAGCCACCCCAAAACATTCAAGATGCTAATTTAAGAAAAAAAGTAAGAAAACTGGGAGAAGACAGAGAAAGTAAAAAAAAGTACCGCCGCCATGTACACGGTAGTTAAAGCAACATGGACATCAGTATGAATCTCGTTTATCTTTCTGCTTACTTTTGTGGCTTCGATCAACAGAAAAACACTTTAAAATGTCCATCCATCCATTATCTATACACCGCTTAATCCTCACTAGGGTCATGGGGGGCTGGAGTCTATCCCAGCCGACTTAGGGCGAAGGCAGGGGACACCCTGGACAGATCGCCAGTCCACTTTAAAATGTTCTGCAGCAAAACAAACAAAAGAACAGAACATGCATTGACAAAAGTGTGTTTTACAGTTTTTTGCTTGGGTGAAGCAAATACTTCTTGGCTTTCCTTAAAATAAAGTTGGTTATTTGAGAGGAATCCAATGACTTGAGTACATCGACCTCAAACTAATATTAACTTAATTTGGATAAACTCGCCTGTTACCAGTTGAAGCAATAATCTTAAATTGGTCCAATTCTCAGAGAACACATAACAAAATAAAGACAATAATCATCACAGCGATCACAGGAGTTCTTCCAAAATTTAAATACTTGGGTTTTGGACACGCTTGGATGTTTGTGATATTACGGAAATGAACGGTCTAATTAATCAGAGACAGAAGTGACCACAGCTCAGTGTGTTTGCCGTGAAGGATGCAGGTGACTCAGAATACACTTCTGCTACCAGCGAACTGCCTCTCAGTTCTAGGAAGGACTTTGGACCAGAAAAACTGACAAGACAACGGCCCTGCGTCACGTCAGATACCGCAGCAGCGTCTCGTACGTAACGTAGGTGCGTGCGTGCAGACAGGATGCTCCACTTCCTCATGCACCGGGGAGCCCCTTGTTCGGTGGTCTGACAACAAGAAGTACAGATTTGTACCTGCAGCGACAGGAAGAGCTGCACAGAACTGAGTCCCCGTCCCAGGAGGTGTGACAGCAGCAGTGAATTCATGGCCTCCAGTCTGGCAGCATTACAGCAAAACACATAAAACACAATAATCAAAAGCATTTCATTTGACTTTTTCTTTTTTTGCTTGTGCTCTGGAAGTCTGCCGTGACTCAACTCTTGTTCAGGATCAGGTGGTTGATGGCTGCTTTATCTCCTACCACATCCCCACTTTTACAGTAACTGTTGGCAACCATCAGACCTCAGAGCTTCTTCTGTGCATGAAGGCTGTCAATCAGCGACGCTGTGAGGCATCTGCTGTGATTTTAACTGTGAAATTAGAAATCCTAATTTAATGATTGTGTGTTTACAATATGCAGCACACTTGTTTGGACTGCAGCTACATGAAACAGTAATGCTCTACTGTGAGAGAAGAAGTCTCATTTCACTGTTTGCAACACTTTAAAGGATGCTTTAGTGAATTACTTGCTTACATTTTTAGAAACTAAAACACGCATACTGTGCTCTTCTCATTGCACACAACATGTCGACGATGTTCTAGGTCATACTAAATGTGCAGCTCTTTCATCTCAGCTCACTGTGGCTGTTTCATCTTTCACCTCTGTACATTTGTATTATTTGAAACTGGAACAAATACAGCAGCAAATGTCTGCGTTTTTGCCGTGCAGGCTGATCTCTAACAGTATAATAGGACATGGGCGTGTTTGTGGTTTCATAACAGCCTTGCATTAGCTTTGATTCTGCACCCATTACTCTGTAATCCTGCATCACATGACGAAGAATCAGGTACAGGTTTAATCCTGCAGATTACAACTCTGCACAGTTTGGGCCACTGGCCGAATTAAAAGTACAGCACTATTTGTACAATTAGTTCAACAATGTATGACATTGTTTTTAGGCCCACAGGAACTATTCCAAACATTTCCTCATGAGGCCCCTTCGACAGGCTTTGTTTCTGCTGCCGCTGAGGATGTGAAAACACCGTTCAGAGGTCTGACTGCAGATTAATGTCTTCATAAAAACGCCATCACATCTCATGATGTGACCAAAAGAATCTGAAAGAATTTAAACTCTCGGGTCAAACTCGAAACGCTCTAATGAAATGACTGTTGGTGTGAAAGTTGGTTATAAGTCAGCAGGGGGTGTTAAACGCATCCATTTAGCGATGAGGTTCACTGGTCGGGGTTTTTTTTGTTTTGTTTGTTTGTTTGGTAAAAAGGACGTAGACGCCTAAGAAGGAAACCAAATTAGGTTTGAGAGAGTTTTGTTTCCTGAGAAAATATCTGCAACCGTTACAGAAACTTTTAGAAGACGCCAGCTTCAATGTGGACCGCAACAAAAAACAATAAGAGCTGTTGTTAACAGCTCAAGGACAAATAATTATAAATAATAATAATAATAATAATATGGTTAATAAGAAATAAATCAGAAACCGTACGATGAAAAGTCAGTACGGCAGTGATGGTAGTTCCAGCCTCATGTTAGAGGGTCACATGTTGTTTCATCCTGACGAAAATAAAATATGTGGGTGGAAACACGTGTACACGCTAAAAAAAATATGTTTGGGCCAAAATAAAATAAATTAAAATAAAATAAAATAAAATAAAATAAAATTTTGTTAAAAAATAGTGCATCAGTCTTTTTTTTCAAAGTTATGATAATAATAATAATAAACTTAATTTAAAGAGCACCTTTCAAAACAAATGTTATGAAGTGCTTTCCAATTAAAATTGAAATAAAAACAAGCACACAGAATAATTGATAAAAGTAGAAAACACACAAATAGAGCAAGAAGCTATAAAATATGAAGCTTAGATCAAATCAGGAAAAGCTCTCCGATAAAAATGTGTTTTTAAGAAGTGACTCAAAAGAGAGCACAGAATCAGCCGATGACAAATTCCATTGATATTATGTTCAACCAACAAACTACATTTAGTTCAGGGAATTATCTTTTCCTCCTACAAGCTTCCTCATAGTCTTAATAATGTATGGCATGTTAAAATAAGACATCCTGAAGTAAAGGTGAATAAACATGAGACAGTTTTTAACAACTTACCTCAACCTAAATTTAGTTTTAAAATAACCTAATAGTAAAAATTAAGTTTAAATTAAAAATAATATGAAAATGATGCAACTATTATTATCATCACAACACAATCCATCAAAAATAATGTTTAAAACTTCACAGGATTATCTCAATCTGTATGTTTTAACTGTAAATAAACGGTGGTAAACGTGTCTCTTGTAATTTTGGGGGACTCCTGACAATGTTTCAGTATGAGGAGCTGAAACCTCTCACAGGAACCCACATGTTTGTCTCCTGTGGAGCCCGGAGCAGCATCACCACGACGGAACCAGGATCTGGATTAAAGTTCCTGACAGCAGATGGAGCCACAGTGTTGGAGCCTTTATTTTTTTCTTATTAGACGCAAAGTCCCCCATTCAGTGACAAACAAAAGTGGGATTCAAGTTCGCGAGCGTTCACTGGAGGCAGTTGCAGGGGAAACAATAGTCCTGAAGGTCCGTGTGAAGTCAAGGCTATTTTTGGTGGGACCCGCCTCGCCGGCTATTTCTGTCAGCAGGCGCTCAGAGGGGAGGGAGCAGCTCCGGAGGGGCCGGACTTTCTTTTCTGCAACTTGCCTCCGATAAGTCTCTTTTCTGTTCCTCCTCTTCTTCTGTACTGGCTCTGCTGACAACACCAGCCCTCCATCACCTCCCGTCGGGGGCTTTCTCTCTCTCGCTCTCGCTCTCTTGGATGCGTCCGGACCGCTTTTACGCACCACAATCGACTCGATATTAGCTGGATTATCTCCAAGCGTCTGCGCTCAGGCTGCTTCAAGTAAACGGCTCGCAGAAGGTAGGAAACTGGCGGCGGTGGTGGTGGTGGTGGTGGCAGGAACCGAACAGCTGGGAGGGGAGCTGGGTAAATGTGCTCGTTGGTCACTGTGCTGTTTGTGTTGCTGGTGGAACATGTTGTGATCTACCTGCGCAGGTGTTGGATCAGCTTCTAGGAGCGCAACTCGTTATGATAAACTAAAAAAAAAAACACAGCTTGTAGTCCTCACTCATCACACACAGCTCGTTCCTTAAGGGATATTACAGAAGTACAGATAAAACCGTGAGGAAGCAGCACGAAGTAACCAGAAATAGAAATATCTGTTCTGGCTGTCTTCCCTAAACAGCGAGATGAATGTTTTCTTGGAAGCTGTTTGAGGTCTGTGAGCCACAAACCTACATTTCTTATCAGTCATTTTCTCAGATATGATTGGAATATTATTTACTTTTGGCCCATGTGCTTGAAGCCAGTTAGTTTTGCTTTTAGTCTCAACAGATGTTCAGCAGCAACACAAAGTGTCCCACAGGTCACACTAGAAGTTTTACACGCAGGTGCACCACCTGCCTGCTTTTCTGCGCTACAGATCTCGTGTGAGTTTGTGTGTTTTGTGCACCGATCTGGGTCAAATATTAAACCTGTGCTCCTTACACGACAAACAGAGGCTCACATCAGGTGGACAGATCTGCTCTCACAAACCTGGAAGAAGTCACCTCCGGCTTTTTTATCTGCCTCTGTTGGCTGCCAGCAGGAATTGCAGCAGCTTCTCTTGTTGATGTTTTCTCCAACTAAAAAGCTCAGTGATGCCACTTTAAGCTGCTCATTTGTCATTTCTGTGTCTCCGCAGATGGAGTGGGCACCTCTGGGAGCATCTTAAAGACAGACAGACGGGACAACCTACTTCGTACAGTGGCAGGTTGGACTTTTAACCTCTCAAGTGCTAAATACCAACTTAATAAGTAGAAGTGTTGCGGGTTGGTAATATTTTACTTTACACTCTTAAAGTGAGGCCGCAGCTGTCAGCGCTGAAACATTCATGTGGAAAAATGCTGCCAGTCTACAGTCAGCCCCCTCAGGACTACATCTTGTCTTCTTTACAGCACTTTTTTTTTTTTTTTTTTACACACACATGCATTACACAGTTTGGGTGACAGCAGATTTTCCAGTGCAGCGTTCAGAATGATCTAAGCTGTTTGATTTTTTTTTTTTTCCCTGAGAACTGCAGTAAAGCACAGAACAGGTGTTGGCCTAGTTGGAAAGATGTAGCTTATTGGGCCTGCTGTGTTTTTCATGCGTGGGTTTTTCAGAAATCGGTTTTGCTGCAGGTCATGCGGAAGTTTATTATGTGTCAGACGATCCTGCAAAAAATGTGCCAAAGTTAAATTTAACACACGGGTTGTTTTACGGTTTAGAAAGCTGCTAAAAGTTGTAGTTGGTTACAAGACTGAAATAAGAAGAGCTTTTATCAGTTCTAACTTGCGGGAAATGTGTCACCGGTGTCAATATATAGAACAGCAAAGGGATTCACTTCACTTTTTTTTTTTTTTTTTCTTCCAATTTCACTTCCACGATTGTGGAATTTGTTCAGTGCTCTGCTTATTTTAAAATCCTGACAGCCGGCTTCATTTTTTTTTTTAAAGCAAACTTGAGACACATCTGGAATTATCCAAACTACACGCTATGTTTGTGAATGAGATCATGGTTAGATAATGAAAATGTCAGCACCGACTACTGGTGATGCAGGATGTGAGGTAGGGCTGCGGCGACTGTTCGATGAGTTGGATGAATTATTTGAGTTTTGAATTTTGTGCACAAAACAAGACATTTTGAGGACAACAAGTGATCAATCAGTGGAGAAAATATGCAGCATTCAGAAAAGGGCCACTGGTTGATTGTGAACTTGAGTTACCCCCTTATGAACCTATTTCAAGCAGCACCTTCTTTACCACGAACTGAGAGACTAAGTTAGATCACTTTTCTTCAATAAACATCAAGTTTCCATCACAACAATGGCAGCTCTGTGTCGTAACGGCAGATATTTCTCCGTCCTGCCTTCACTGCACTATGCAAGGAATTCTAGAAACATCGCCGCAGCTCGGGCTTTTGTCGGCGCTGACTCACATGGGAAACAAATGGCTCCTTCTCTAACCTGAGATCAAAATGCATTTGATCCGCTGCTCCACCCATCACAAACAAGTCGCCCGGGCTCTCTGCTTTTGTGTCCTTGGCTTTTTAGTTTAGATTAGCATTCTCCTCGGCGGAGCATGCCTGTGTGATCACACTGTGTAGGATTACAATGCATGACTCTCTGAATGGAAGCCGGCTCACGCTGTGCCAGGCTCCGCTGACTGTATGCTAACCAAGCAGCCACTATGTGCCCATGTGTGTGTGTGTGTGTGTGTGTGTGTGTCTGTGGAAAAACCCAGTGAGGTCATGGCCGCCGCTGCAGAGTCTGGTTACATGTGTGTTGTCCACGCAGGTCAACTGACACTGGCTATCTCGCCTTTGTCTTCCTCTCTAATCTCTTTCCTTCCTCGCACACACAAGCTCGCTTTAAATCATATTCGCGGTGCCCTTTATCCCAGGAGGCGTCTCTGGAGCGGCGGCGGCGGCAGCATGAGCCAGATGTGCAAAACATGTCAAAGCACCATTTAAAAAAAGGGTCAAGAGCTCACGGAGCCCCCTTTAAACTCCACAGACCGCTATAATGGACCTGCAGGCCACATGGGTTACATCCCACTTGTGTTAGAGTGTCTTGGTTCTCTTGTTAACCCCAATTTTTCACACACACGTGCAAATTAGAATAACAAGCAGACGTTCTGTCCGCCTGAAGAACTTTAACAAGAGCCTCCACATCTTCATATCTTTGTTCTTCAAATAGCAATTCTATGGATGGATATGTATATTTATTACTTGCACTCTTTCACTGAGTCATAAAAACAGTATTTTCCTCCCAACAAGTGAAAAGAATCAGTTGAGATTCTTAATGTTCAAGAAGTTTTTCCTCCTCGTGTGCAGAAAAATCCGACCTTTTCACCTCTCCATGCGCGCTCTCTGTTCATTTTTTCTTTTCGACACAATTGTAAGTCTTTCCTTGTGTCCTCTCTGGTTCACTGAACAGAGGAGGGACAAACTCAGATAACAACGGGCATGATTGTAATAGCTGCGGTCGAGATCACATATCCTCTTCCTGGTTGTAGTTTCCAAACCCTTGGATCAGCTGATCCCTCGGTGCTTTATTTCTTTTTTTTTGTCGCTGGTTCCTGCTGAATTGGAGAGCTGAGGGAGGCTTAGTTGGCTCCAGAAAAGTATTTTGAGGCAGATTTGCACAAGGAAGAATGCAAATTTAAATTAAAAAAAAAGTCCATTGCAGTTTCCGTAAGCTGGTGATGACTATTTAAAGGCTTGTTCTCATCAAGCAGCGGTTAAAAATCCAGTTTCTAATCATAGAAAATAATAATTCACACTTGACTTGTGGCTTCTTATTGCTGTTAATCTTCCTTATATACGTAAGTAACCTGAGCTCACTCCAACATTTAATCAACAGGTTCAGTCTTCATTGGATGCAGAGCTAATATATCACTAAACAACATGCTGGAGCTGTGTTCCCGTGCAGTCGCTCCACTGTTTATTCAACACTAAATTGTGCTCCTTCTTGAATTTCCTGCTTCTTTTTTTTTTTTCATTCCCAAACACCATAAAGTCACAGAAATCCCAGCAGCTGCCCCTGAAATTGATTTGACTCATTTGTCCCGATCAACAACCGTATTAACCCCTGCGGATATATTATGGTAATCTTGAACTTACGGGGCCCGTTAAAGCTGAGCTGTGGCGCAGACGCAAGCTGTGCCGTGGTCGTGGTAGTAACGGTAGTAACAGTAGACGGCATTGAAGGAGGCGGCTATTTTTGACCCGCTGAACAAATGGCTCAATTGTCCTGCCTGTAGGTGCATGAAATCACTTGATATGTCAGGGGTAGTGTTATATAATACTCTCCGAGGGGCCCTGCAGGACTGTGTTTGTGTGCGCATTAGTCTGCTTTTCATTTCTCTTAATTGTGTGTGTGTATTATTCAGTGTTTTTTTTTTTTCACACATCGTAGTATTTGGGTGGGACAGAGAGGCTGTGTGAGTGTTTGTGTTGTGGCCTGAGGTAACGTCGTTTTATTAGTGTGTCCAATCAATTGATGTTGTATTAACCTTTGAGCTGAAGGCTTCTTGCTGTGGTCAGCTGGGTAACTGCTCTGTTGTTGGCCTCCAGCCAGTCTGCATCCCCCTCGGGACGTCTCGCTTTCTTTTTCACACACACACCAGCACTTATACGCACTTAATCGTGGAGAAACGAACTGAAGTCGGTGGAATTATTTCGCTAAACATTTATTCCTGTGTTGGGAAAACCCTTTTATTTTCTCCTCAGTCCCGCCCAGTGAACCAGAAGCTTTGGATCTGAAAAAAAGAACAAAAACAGAAACAAACCTTTTGTTGCCTCCAGTGACTTAGATTCCACCATTTGCTTCTATTAAAGCAAATTTGCTTTTATTTCAGATCACAGCGTGTGTTCAGGACTGTAAAAGTTAAAGCCAATAATACTGAATATTTCATATCAGATCTTTTAAAACTAGGAGCTTCAGATGGTTTGTAGCTCGTTAAGGCACTCATTAAAAAATATTCTCGGATCCCTCAATGAAAAGAACAAACCTTGAAATATGTATTAATTATTAAATGAAGCTTTAAAGGTTGTCTTGTTGCACGGGGACGATGTGTAACGCTGCGATATCGGATACCGTGAAAGACCAGCGTTGGCCTTAATCACAAATTTTCTGAACCGGACTCCCACTCGTATTTGGATCCAGTCTGACCCGAAGCGCGGCACAGATTAATGAATCGGCTCACGTTCACTCCAGATCGCTGAGGTGACTGACACTGACCCCGGATCAGATAGCCGGCCGTGGGCGCAGATGTAACAGGATCTCCTCTCATGTGGACGGACTCACATCTGACTGTGTGTGTGTGTGTGTGCGATGAATTGTCTCCGGTGACGTTTACGGCTTCAGGCTGGTTTTAACAACTCCGTGTAGCGGAGGAGGAGAATGACACAATGCATGTTTATTTAATGTGTTTTGTCTGTCTGGGTGTGTGTCAGGGTGTTTTGTGTGTGTGTGTGTGGTGCGTATGGACGGGTTTCTTAGAGACTTTCGCTTGAGATGTGCACACAGACGCTAGATAACAGGGAGTTGAGTTCCAGGTGGGAGATGTTCAGTAAGACGAGATGCATAATTACATTAAACGCGTGCGGCATCTTTTTTGCAAACAGCTCGGCCTCCTCGTCTGCTCATGCCTCACAATCGTCTGCAATGTGTTCCCTGCGAATGGAAAGAAATTAGAAATACCCTACCAGCAGCACCTCAGCTGCCTGTTTGCGGTCTGAGACACTTGATAAACCAGATCATTACTCATCACTTTTGTGTAGTCGAGGTTTGCGTAATTTCACGTTTAGCTGCAAGTAACAATGGTTGTTGTTTAATCTTTTGCATCTGTAAAAATGTGATTGCATCACAGAGTCCAAGCAGATATACTCTAACGAACAGCACAGAAAACCAGCAAGTACTCACAAGAAAACCAGTCATTGTTTCTTTGGAATATGTAAACAAACAATCCATTGTCAAATTATTGACTTTTTTTTTCTTCCTTTTTTGGTTCCACATCTTCAATTATTTGTGAATGAGAAACCCGTCTGTGTAATGTTTCAGAAAGGGTTTTGGGTTTTGTCCATGACGGTGTTTATATATGGATTTCTTTTTTGTCTGTGGCTATGTGTGTGTGTGTCTAAGTGTGTATATATGTGTGTGTGTATTCATCCCTTCCCAGAGTGCTGAGCATGTGCAGGAATGTTAATGTCTTCTTCCTTTGTTGTCCG